GACATAGAATTTAATGCATTTAGTGAAAAAAATGTAAAATTAAAGATTTTTCATTTAATTTAATTGATTAATAACGTATTTTTTGTGTAGTATTTACATGTAAGATTAAAAACTTAATAAATAATAAATAATAATTTCAGGCAATATTACATGTTGTATGAAGATATGAATGGATCTATTGGCGAGTTTCATACCTAATATCTATATACGTCTTTTAAAAATTTTTATTTCCTAAGAGCCACAGAATAGTCGAAATCTATTTGGTTAACAACTTTTGAATAGTATAAGTAAACACAGTATTTAGAATTTGGCTTAGTGTGATAAATCTGCTATACGAGTATTAATCTTGTATTACGTAATTAATTAAATAATTATTTTGAATATCCTATAAATTTAGGTAGAGAACTGTTATTGAATAAAAACTTAAAACAAAGATTACATTTCTGCTAAATGCTCGGGATATATTCGAATGTTTGCCATTTTCCAGTAAGAGGTGTCTCTTCATCTACATGAAGGTACAGTCTGACCAACTCATGAAAACTCCACTTACACGATGGATTAGTTTACTGACCATTGGCTGGAGTAAATATGCGTCATGTGACTGGTCAGCATACTTTAATTCCCGTCTCTTCCCTTCAGGTATGTCAACCGGATGCCAACTGACTCATGCTATACCTCACCCATGAGAATGATTAGTAAAGTAGTCCAATGCCTAATTAAAGTGCCTTTCTGGATTAGTCAGGTTGTAAACAAATATTGGTCCCAACAGAGTACAGAACTGCGATCGAGACATTCGAAGGATATGCGCCCGGAAGTCGTCACTTGACCATTTGGCAAATTGTACAGTAAATCTACAGGCAAACACTTTACAAATAACGTCTGTGTTTGGTCGGTGAAACAAATATAATTTCTGTTAAAAATAAATAAACCGTAGAAAAATAATACATAATACGTAATATGCGATAATGAGGTAAAACAATACATAAAAAGTATTGGGTGTGTAAAAGGAATATGGGGTAACACCGCAACGCTTTCGTGTAATATTTGCGTGTAAATTTTCAAAATTTCACTATATTGTAAATTAGTTAATCATATCTTAGATACTGAGTAAGTTAGTTTGAAGATATTTTTATTTTCGTTTTGAAAAATTGCTGTATTACATACACTTTTATGTTACAGTTTGAAAAGAGCCATTTTTGACGTCCCAAACATGTAATGATGTAAATGGAACTTCTATTAATTGAGACTTTTTCTGTTAAATCAATGGAATTAATTTAGAACACGGATATCAAACGGAATTGTTTTAGTACAAGACAGTCTTCACTTTTATTGATCTATATTAAATTGTTGAATTGTAGTTGTTCATTTGTTGTTGATAAACGGTCTTACTTCCACTGATCCTTCTCCCTAATCAGATTAATTGTAATTTTAAAAATTTTGTTCTAATGATAATTTTTTTGTTGTAACTACAGTATTGAAATTTGTGATATTTGACTTTTATACTAATTATTGTTGTTAAAATTAAAATTTTGTTTTTAATCAGAAGATCCGGTACTAGCATTTACTATTTAATATTCGTTTTTGATATTATATGAATCCTTATGCCAGGGTCTTTCCTTTGATGTTTTTGGACCTTGCAAATATGTATTTAACTGTTTTGTTTGATGAAGAGTTCGATTGAAATAGAACGATATTGAATTCTGATACACTTTTTAATTTGTTGTTTTTTTATAATAAAGTAACAACACTCGACAACGAAAATTCTACAAGTACATATGTCAGTAATGTATTTTTTTTGTGCTTAATGAAAACTTTTCGAAAGAATAAAAAATAGCAAAAAAATTTTAAAAATCGCAAAAGTAAAATAAAGTACAAATTTTATTTTTACCATTTTAGATTTACGTAGTAAATACTTATTACTACAAAAGCTTCAAATCGAAATATTTTTTTTAAAGGGAATCGTTTTCTAAAGAGAAAGTTTTTTTAAACGAATCAACGTCTGCACCGTTAACAGCAAAACATGTCTAGAATAAGGAATAAAGCAATTATTGTTAGTTAATAAAACTACAAATGTTTTAATTGCGTTTCTATTATTATATTATTGATCTAGATTGCCTATATTAAGTAAATTTAGCAAAGTATTTCTTACCGTCATAACATGGAAAAAGTTTAAATCGTTCTTCATTTCTGCTCGCACTGCCGGATCAAAACACTTTTTAAATTTCGTATATTCCTAAAATATACATTATATCACTATACTTAACAGTGATGAGTGATTTAAATTATATATAATTATAACAAAGGCCTACCTCACTAGTTATGCCATTACATATGTATTCACCCATTTCATCAAAAGTATAGAATTTTTTCACTTGAAGCATGCAATTCCTAACTAACACGAGTCCCTAATAACATTATTATGTAAACGAATGTAGTTTACTTCAATTAATTTAGATAGAAACCGTTAACATTTTCAACTTACATGTTCGAATTTGTTTTCTATGGCACAGAAGCGCAACGCCGCTTGACTTTCAATCTCTGAAATTCGTCTGGTATAAATTAATTAAGCTTTTTAGAAATTCCTACTGCTAATATACTTACTACAATACATATCGATTAATTTATCTACAAGTTGGGCTTTGGTAAATACCAGAAAGCATGCAGCAATCATTGCTTTAATAATCAGCTTCATGGTTTTCTTCAATATGTCAGACACAGTAAATTTATTATATGCACAACAGTACTTGTATATATATACATTCAATATTATTAGGTTTATAGGTTTATTAACATCGTAAATAGGTTATTATTGTGATAGAAATAAAACAGATTTTATAATCTTTAATTAAATATATTTTCCTACGCTCTAATTAAGAGTTATATTCAACAATATTAGATTGAATATTAATGATCTGATTTTATGAATGATCATTTTTCGATTTATTATCATGCCAGTTAATTATATTATTCAAAAATTTAATAATATTCGTCTCAAATTGAATACAAATAAATTAACTTATTTTTGAGAGTTTATGCACTGTTTTTATTAGAGATGAAAATGAGTAATTTATTTCTAAATTTTGTGATTATTTTTAAATAACTGATGATTTTGCTTGCGTCAAAATACATTAATTTTGTATATTTAAGTGCATTAGTTGTGACTAATTTCAAAATGAATTTAATTATTTATATAGAGTTATATATGCTTTCGAAATTGGCTTCTATATTATATCGTTTGCAAGTGGATAAAACCTTCGAACACTGGTCCCGGGTTTCCGCCTTATCAACGGTTTGGTTGCGTGGAGTCATAGACGTAAAAAAACCCGCTAAACATGTAGATACGTGCCCGTTTTCCACAAAAAGTTTTGCCAAAAAGAAAAGTTTATAACATGGTTCAATCTGTTTTATCAACTCTTTATAAGATGATAAAACATATTTGATCTATCTTATCAATGCAATTCAATCCTATCCTATTCTGTCCTTTAAACATTAGTGAGGTTATGGCGGAAGTTTTAAACGGGAAATCGTATACGTCGGACGTTCAGCGACGTTTTCCCATAAGCCTAGAAGTTTAACAATGGTGTTTGAAATGTCGAGCATGATTACAAAATTTACATCTTGCTAAATTCTTGTGAATTTGTTTTTATTTTACAGTACTTTTATTTCTAAAATAAATTGTTACTAAAATTCAATTTTAAATCGTTAATTCAGTGAATAAATAATTCAGAATTAAATTAATATTAATTTCATAAAATATATGTCAACATTTAATTGTAAATTTTTAAATATTAATTAACTTTTTATCATCACTTATGTAAACCGTTCTCTATACGCGGATGTAGCGTAACGAAATGAATAATTTTTAAAATCTTCAAACATTTTCCGGTATATAAATATTTCTAAAAAACAAGTATTTATATACCGGATGATCTCATAACAGTAGAACTCGCTCTACTTCTCTCGAGTTCTGGTTTCGTTTGATTTCCATCAGAAAATATAAAATTGTATAGACCCATCTTTTATAATATTTTATTTAAAAGCACGTTTTATATAAGAAATTATTATGAACTAGCAGGTAGGCCCGGCGTTGCTCGAGCAAAAGTAACGATAACTAAGATTAAGATTATTACGTTACAGTCAACCTTACCCGTTTTCAAAGAATGCAAGAATTGGGTACCCTCGTTTCCGGACTAATTAGAGAACTTTTAGATGGGTCTAAAAATATGTTCGATTTCTCGCAAAAAATAAAAAACTGCATCTGCGTCTTGCACGTCGCTTTCTCTTAACAATTCCATTGTTACTTAAAACTTCCATTGTTACCTAACACCGCCATTGTTACTTAACACTTCCATTGTTGATGGAAGTGTTAAGCCTTAATCCTGACTCTCTCCCCCGTGGGGAGGAATTTCGAAAAATCTCTTCTTAGTGTGCGTTCTCATAACGTACCCTAACTGTGTACCAAATTTCAACTTTCAACTCCTGCGCTTATTATTATTCTTATCATTATCATTATCAACCCGTCTCGATTATATATATAGATTGGCAAAAACCTTAATTTTCAGGGTAAACATTAGTTTAATTAAAAAAAAAAACAAAAAAAAAGTAAATGCTAAAAGAGAGTAAAATCTTCATTAACTCTGATACATTCAATCTATCCACCCCATTGTAACAGAGGGGTGGAACACATCTAATATCTCATGCTGTGTTAGACTTAATTAAATTTCGCCAAAAAATATTTAGTAACATTAATGCTCTAATGCACAAACCTCTCTGCAAAATTTCAGAAATTTTCCACAAAAAGTACGAGAGTTATTAAATAGAAACTGCAATTGTAAGAAATTTATTTTTAAAAATCTGTAAATATTTCAATATTTTGATAATTTTTTTTCTATTAAATCCTCTGTCCAATGCGTTAAAATATGTCGTTACAGTAAATGATTTCTCTTTGTTGTTATTTCAATTGAATATTTATGAATTAATATTAATTAAGTTTTATTTTATTCAGCCATTTCATCAAAAGTATGGAATTTTTTCACTTGAAGCATGCAATTCCTAACTAATACGAGTCCCTAACAACATTATTATGTAAACGAATGTAGTTTACTTCAATTAATTTAGATAGAAATCGTTAAAATTTTCAACTTACATGTTCGTAATTGTTTTCTATGGCACAGAAGCGAAATGCCGCTTGACTTTCAATCTCTGAAATTCATCTCGTATAAATTAATTAAGCTTTTTAGAAACTCCTACTTCTAATATACTTACTACAATACATATCGACTAATTTTTCTACAAGTTGGCCTTTGGTAAATACCAGAAAGCATGCAGCAATCATTGCTTTAATAATCAGCTTCATGGTTTTCTTCAATATGTCAGACACAGTAAATTTATTCTATGCACAACAAACATTTGTATCTATATATATACTTTTAATATTATTAGGGTTATAGGTTTATTAACATCGTAAATAGGTTATTATTGTGAATGAAATAAAACAGATTTTATAATCTTTAAATATATTTTCCTACGCTCTAATTAAGAATTATAGTCATCAATATTAGATTGAATATTAATGATCTGATTTTCTGAATGATCATATTTTAATGTATTATTATGCTAGTTAATTACGTTATTCAAAAATTTAATAATATTCGTCTCAAATTGAGTACAAATAAGTTAATCTATTGTAAAGAGTTTATGCACGGTTTTTATTAGAGATGAAAATGAGTAATTTATTTCTAAATTTTGTGATTATTTTTAAATAACTGATGATTTTGCTTGCGTCAAAATACATTAATTTTGTATATTTAAGTGCATTAGTTGTGACTAATTTCAAAATGAATTTAATTATTTATATAGAGTTATATATGCTTTCGAAATTGGCTTCTATATTATATCGTTTGCAAGTGGATAAAACCTTCGAACACTGGTCCCGGGTTTCCGCCTTATCAACGGTTTGGTTGCGTGGAGTCATAGACGTAAAAAAACCCGCTAAACATGTAGATACGTGCCCGTTTTCCACAAAAAGTTTTGCCAAAAAGAAAAGTTTATAACATGGTTCAATCTGTTTTATCAACTCTTTATAAGATGATAAAACATATTTGATCTATCTTATCAATGCAATTCAATCCTATCCTATTCTGTCCTTTAAACATTAGTGAGGTTATGGCGGAAGTTTTAAACGGGAAATCGTATACGTCGGACGTTCAGCGACGTTTTCCCATAAGCCTAGAAGTTTAACAATGGTGTTTGAAATGTCGAGCATGATTACAAAATTTACATCTTGCTAAATTCTTGTGAATTTGTTTTTATTTTACAGTACTTTTATTTCTAAAATAAATTGTTACTAAAATTCAATTTTAAATCGTTAATTCAGTGAATAAATAATTCAGAATTAAATTAATATTAATTTCATAAAATATATGTCAACATTTAATTGTAAATTTTTAAATATTAATTAACTTTTTATCATCACTTATGTAAACCGTTCTCTATACGCGGATGTAGCGTAACGAAATGAATAATTTTTAAAATCTTCAAACATTTTCCGGTATATAAATATTTCTAAAAAACAAGTATTTATATACCGGATGATCTCATAACAGTAGAACTCGCTCTACTTCTCTCGAGTTCTGGTTTCGTTTGATTTCCATCAGAAAANTCGTTTTTAATGTCTTCGGAGAACTCTGGGACGTAGTTGTTGTGTTTTTCATTGGTGTTGAGAATGCTTTTATCAGAATTGTTGCAGATGATTTATACGAACATAATTTCAGAACGGCATTTTTTAAAAATTACAGGTTATTTAATATGTCATCCGCAAGCCAATCAATGTGGCGGAAAATATTCTCCACCGCATTGATCAATACAATAAGAGTTGTCAAATAAAATTAATAATTATAAATAGTATCATAATTTTCTCTTTTATCTTAATGTTATATGAAGTATCTAAGTAAACAGATTTATATTAGCTTAAAAATGTATGTATTTTTTGTAGTACAGAAAATTGAGGCGAGAAAATGTCATCTTCAAATTTATCTTCAAAATCAGATATAAAAGTTTCCTTACCGTTTCTCCCAATTTTTATTCCCAGAGTCAGATGTAATATCATCTGGGTCATATATACTATCATTAGTCCTCGACCGTGGAAACTTTTGTTGAGTTAAATGCTTTCTCTTTCTACTTTTATATTCACAGGTTTCCAAAACGTGTTTTGAATTCTGCTACACGAGGCGTGTCTCGGTAGCCATTACGATACTGCTAATTGTAAGTGTAGGTTTACAATTTTTTTTAACTTTTTATTAGAGACAAGAGTGATAAAGTACCAGCTCAGGTAGATATTATGCGGTGTTTGGTTGTCATAGTAGCCAGAGTTCTTTATAAGTGGTTTCAAGCTGTATGCGATGTACAGTACATGAAAAGATGATGCGTCGAGATTATCCATCTATTCCGTACAACTGCAGATGTAAATGACGCTGTTGAGACTTTAAAAGAGTTGCAGAGTGTGTCCATAAAAGAAAAAAATTTCGAAGGAACCATACCTCTAAATTTGACCCTTCCCGTCAAAACTCTACAGCTCTATTAAGGTACCAATAGCAGCATTCACTTCAAACTTACCCCGTATTCAACCATTCCAGTTATATTTATTTTCACATGATAAAAATTTAAGAAGAGAATGGGTAACCAACCTTATATGCAGTGTACTGTACTGTACATCCAGCTAGATAAATAAACATCACTAGACACACAAGTCAATATAGAATGATTACTGGCAGATAGGGTTTGTGATGCCTCTATATTTGTCTTAAGAACATAAATGTTTTGACAATTTATTAATTAAAATTTCATTTCCTTTACCACTTGAAAAAATTTATAAGAGTCAAGACTCGTATAATTGAACATTTCTTGATATTAAAGGTAAAGCGTGTAATTATGATATTCAAATATAGCTGGATATTTCAAAGGTGGTCATTCTCTTATATCATTATTCCACGATTTTATAGTACTAATTTGTGAAAACGACTGTTTATCTGAAAACAAATGAAAAAACACAATAACAAACCAATAAAAATATATTATAAAAAGAACCAATGGAGTCAGATAATCTATTTTTTACCGTATTGCACTATTCACTAGTACACGGAAAACTGGCAGTTTTCCGTGTACTAGTGAATAGTGCAATACGGTAAAAAATAGATTATCTGACTCCATTGGTTCTTTTTATAATATATTTTTATTGGTTTGTTATTGTGTTTTTTCATTTGTTTTCAGATAAACAGTCGTTTTCACAAATTAGTACTATAAAATCGTGGAATAATGATATAAGAGAATGACCACCTTTGAAATATCCAGCTATATTTGAATATCATAATTACACGCTTTACCTTTAATATCAAGAAATGTTCAATTATACGAGTCTTGACTCTTATAAATTTTTTCAAGTGGTAAAGGAAATGAAATTTTAATTAATAAATTGTCAAAACATTTATGTTCTTAAGACAAATATAGAGGCATCACAAACCCTATCTGCCAGTAATCATTCTATATTGACTTGTGTGTCTAGTGATGTTTATTTATCTAGCTGGATGTACAGTACAGTACACTGCATATAAGGTTGGTTACCCATTCTCTTCTTAAATTTTTATCATGTGAAAATAAATATAACTGGAATGGTTGAATACGGGGTAAGTTTGAAGTGAATGCTGCTATTGGTACCTTAATAGAGCTGTAGAGTTTTGACGGGAAGGGTCAAATTTAGAGGTATGGTTCCTTCGAAATTTTTTTCTTTTATGGACACACTCTGCAACTCTTTTAAAGTCTCAACAGCGTCATTTACATCTGCAGTTGTACGGAATAGATGGATAATCTCGACGCATCATCTTTTCATGTACTGTACATCGCATACAGCTTGAAACCACTTATAAAGAACTCTGGCTACTATGACAACCAAACACCGCATAATATCTACCTGAGCTGGTACTTTATCACTCTTGTCTCTAATAAAAAGTTAAAAAAAATTGTAAACCTACACTTACAATTAGCAGTATCGTAATGGCTACCGAGACACGCCTCGTGTAGCAGAATTCAAAACACGTTTTGGAAACCTGTGAATATAAAAGTAGAAAGAGAAAGCATTTAACTCAACAAAAGTTTCCACGGTCGAGGACTAATGATAGTATATATGACCCAGATGATATTACATCTGACTCTGGGAATAAAAATTGGGAGAAACGGTAAGGAAACTTTTATATCTGATTTTGAAGATAAATTTGAAGATGACATTTTCTCGCCTCAATTTTCTGTACTACAAAAAATACATACATTTTTAAGCTAATATAAATCTGTTTACTTAGATACTTCATATAACATTAAGATAAAAGAGAAAATTATGATACTATTTATAATTATTAATTTTATTTGACAACTCTTATTGTATTGATCAATGCGGTGGAGAATATTTTCCGCCACATTGATTGGCTTGCGGATGACATATTAAATAACCTGTAATTTTTAAAAAATGCCGTTCTGAAATTATGTTCGTATAAATCATCTGCAACAATTCTGATAAAAGCATTCTCAACACCAATGAAAAACACAACAACTACGTCCCAGAGTTCTCCGAAGACATTAAAAACGATATCATCAAGTTTGGAATTGAGCACAAAACGACTAATCTCAGCAACAAACAAGATTATCCTACTCTTAGTAATAATCAAACTAACCAAGTCAGCAAGAGTGACATTTCTTTATATACGAATGGTTCTAAACACCAAGAAAATGTTGGTGCGGCGTTTGTGCTGTATAACCACACCATCGGGACCACCCATAAATCGGCCATCAGACTTGGACTGCACTGCACTGTCTCGCAGGCGGTGATCACTAAAGCAATAGAGAATGTTTACAAAGATTGATTTCCTCGTGCCAAGACTTAGGCATCTGCACAGATAGTGCAACTCTGTCTACAGCCCTCATAACAGGGTGCGAATATCCTTCGCATTCACCGCTACTTAAATACCAACAGCCACAGCCACGTGATCTTTTTCAGGTGGGTCCGTGGACACTCTAGTGTTTTGGGTAATGAGGCAGCCGACCAGCTGGCCAAGCAGTCCGCTGCCTTTAATCTAAACCTGAGCTACAGCAAGATTTCCGTCTCAAAAATAAAGCAGTGGACTCTAGAGCTAGCTCTCAAACAATGGCAGGAAGAGTGGGATAACGGCACAACGGGAAGAACAATGCACACCATCATCCCTAACTTCAGTAGCAGACTTTATTTAAGTCTGCTACTGACATTTTATTCTGGACTTCCTCATGACTCAGTTAATTACTAGTCGTGGTAATTATAACTCATACCTGAAGTGATTTCATTGAGGAGCTCACACGTGTGCCTCTGCAATGAAGTCTCAACACAGAATAACCAACGCTGCTTGCGGGACTGAAAACTCTTCACAGAGAAGAGAAAAATATTAATGGGTTATGTTCTACTCGCAGGGAACAATTGGCTCTTTCCCAACAGCAGACTTCTTGAAGATGAAAACATCGATCGACATCTGAACAAGTTTCTAAGAACAACTGCAGCACTCAACTCATCGCGCAACCGGCCAGCCACTAATGGTAATC